GTACCTAATTTCATGTTAAACCTGTGTCTCTAACTGTTTATCAAGGGGGAAAATGCAGTGTTATAGGAGAGGACAATCTTCACAGTCCAATTGCTCCAGGACTCTCTTAGGAAATCTTCATAGCTAGCAGTATTTTGGCTGCTAGGCTGGCTATTTGTTGGCCATCCATCACCGTTAGAAGTAGAATTGTATAGTCTAAACCCATATTAACAGAATGATATATATGATATATCTGCTTCCAAGATCCAAAGCACATACTCTGCAGCACTCCATGAAGATTTATTCAGATATGCTTAACTTAGTTCAATTTTTAGGTTTTGAATCATCTCTGTTCAGTCAGTATAAGATTCTAATTTTAAGTAAATAGATTCATGTAATTTCATCAAGCTATATTGTCTTTAAGCCATAGTCCTCTCTAAATCCGTAAAATATTTCACAGTATATTAGTTAGCATTATCAATGACTTGCAAGGAGGGTCAGACTACCATTTACTAGTATCTAAAGCAGTATCAAGAACCTTTAGCAGATAACTGTCCATTCTGCATGGATTACCAGTTGAATGTATGCTTAGTTCTTTTCTTGTTTGTGTATATTTATTCACTTTGTATTTTACTATGTTATTTATTTTAATTTCATAGTTATTTAATAAATATTATTAATCCTTTATTAATTATTTCTGAGGCACACTATTTCCTTGACTCAGTTTTCTAAAGTGATTCTGTCTTATGAAAACTTTCTATGTAGCTTCCAAAACAGCTACTCAGCCTTCCTGGGAATTGTGAACTTGATTATGACATTGTAGGGCTACAGTAAGAAAAGTTTTCCCCAAAAGGCATCCTAAGGGCTGCTGAAAAAGAACAAAGAATTTTTAAGCCCTTCCAACTATTGTCTTTGGAACAGTTTGAGACAGATGAAACTGCAAAGGAGGACTCTTTAGAGCCTGAATTTACTACTTCTGCTTGATTTCTCTTTCACATCCCACACTACTGACAGTACCTTTTAATCACATGAGCATACTGCTGCCTGCATAGCCCATTGTATAAACACCACCTGCCACAGCCAGAGGAGGCTGCGCAGTGGAAAGATGTGCTAAAGGAGAAAATTGCTCTTCTTAGGTTACTCACAGTTGGCCACAGAAGCAACAACTAAAAAAACAGTATATGATGTAGACACTGAGTGGAAGAAAAATCATATAAACTGACTGCAGTATATATTTTTCCACTACCTATTAGTTTCAGCATGGACATTGCTGGAGAATCATGCCACCCCAGCAGCTCTAACATTGTTTTACCAAAGAATATGGGTAAGAGAGAAAAATGCACCATCACATACATATACACCACCACATTCACTTCACATGCATAGGTACAACATTCGTCAAGCCAGCACTTTTGATGCCTTTAGCACACTTAAATCCCTGGTTAGGCTAGACTTACAAACACAAAGAATGTTACCTTGTTTCGGGAAAGAATGCTTATCCTTTAGGAAGCCCTCAATAGCTTTTCTTTCTTTTGCAATACAAAAATCTACCCATTTTATGGATTGTGAGCACATCTATATTTTGCTCTAATCTGAAACTACCATCAGGTCATAATTTGTTGCTCAGCCTCAGCAAACCCACAATACCAGAAAGTATCCTATCCTTCTCCTAGGCAGTCTCTGTGACACTTACAGTGCATATCAAAATGAACTAGATCTTATCTTTTATGTACTGCAAATTAATTGCTAGAGCAATGCTCTTAGATACTTGTCTATCTCCTTTGCCGGCTGAGATGACTTCATGGGTATGTCTGTTCTGATCAAGCAACCATTCAAATAGATTAAACCACAGCTAAGCTGGCTTTGAATTTGAAATGGAATACAGGAAGAGAAAAGAGGCCCACAGCTGGATGCTAGCTTTAGTTGGGAAACAACAGCACAACCTCTGCTGGCTGCCTCCTATCTGAAGCTCACATAGTTAGAGCAACAGTTTTCTTTTTCCACCCCGCTTCATTAGCTAAGTTTATGCAGGTGGTTCTGATGTCAGTCAGGAAGGGAAAAAGCTATCACCTCTTCCACACTTAGACCAGCAACTGCTGCAACTGCAGTGCTGCGACTGACTTCCAACTGCTGCCTTTTTCTAATATTCAGTATTTGAGTAACAGAGAAAAGCGTCTAACCTGGGTAGCCACCAGCCTCCCTGGGGAGTTGCCATATATTAATTGTTCAGTGCTGTAATGGAACAGAGGGACACAGTGGTCTTGACTAGGAAGCACTGATATATGTACCTAGCATGTACATAAACTCAATGGGTCTAAGACAAAGGCAGGACTCTTAAGTCACACATGGTGTGGAGTTATTTTTCCAGTTTGAGACTTTCTTTTCTTTCTTTTCTTCCCTTTCTTTTTTCCTTTTTTTTTTTTTGTTTTGTTTGGTTTTGGTGCTGTAGATTTTGAGGGTTTTTTTTACCTTGGCCAATGATATTTCCAAAAATACAAAACCAAGCAAAAAATTGTTGACACATCATTCAGTCCTAGTTCTGGCCACTTCATAATCCCCACTTTTTCCTCTGTGGTTACAATATATTCCATTCGTATTTCTTTCATTTAGAATATCTTTCATTTTGTTGGGATCCTGTTGTGCCCAGCTATTCCTCTCTTTCTCCTTAGTTCAGACATACCTGTCAAATTTTCAACCACATAAAATAATCCATACCAGAGCTACTATATTATTTACTGGTCCCTGTTTAGGACCATGGAATTTTTGTGCTGAGTGGTCTGTGATAATTCAAGTCCACTGCAGTACTCAGGGAAGAGTCTCAGATCTCTTATCCCACATTTATCTGGACAAAAAAAACCATACAAGCAATAGCAAATGTTTATTGACACTCCATGTATGCATACACATATATTATGCACTCTGATGCCCCTTAGTTTTCCTTCCTAATTTGTTTCAAAAGGAGAATATAGGACCCTGTAAGAAGAAAATGTTGCATGCTGAATGATTCTTGCTGATGTGATGCCGAATAAAATGACTTAGCAAGAGGCCTAGATTTGGTTGATGCATTTTGCTACTCCTTACCACCGTGATTTACTGTGGTGTATGAGGAAACTGCTGTTGTCCAAAGCTGCTGAATTAACAGAATGAATGTCACAAAAAAAGAAAACTTCAGGGTAAGGACCAGTTTGAAGTAAGAATGTGATTTCAACAAAGGCCAGCCGGTGCAGAACTTCTCGTTACGTGGGGTGTACTGACCAGCTAAGCGAAAGAATATATTGTGTAGGTATTCTTTTGAAGACCTTGGAAGAGAAATGTAGGGGGAAATCCTGGCCATTTCTGAAGCAAACACCAAAATTCCCATTCACTTTGTTAAACCAAGATTTTGTCTCGTGATTGAAGCAGAAATCAGTCTCAAAGCTGGGGCAGCAGATGGTTGAGCCAGGATTTGGGACACAGATTTCAGGACCGTAGACAGGATTCAGAAAATGCTGGCAATTAGGAATGGAACTGATAATTGAGTTTGCAGATATAAAACTCCTGAGATACAGAATGTAATTTTAAAATTGAACATCATAAAAAATGTCTTTTTAATTTTTTTTTAGTGCCTCAGCAGAATAAAAATGTCATAAAATTACCTTGATTATGTCATCATAGAGAGAACTAATGGCCTCTTAAGAGAACTGTTATGAAAATAATCAAGTTCAGAAAGTATTTACAATCACTTAATATGCCTTGAATAAAAATATTTCAGTTTGACTTTATCTGAAACTTATTTCTGTATACGTAATGCTATTGCCACAGCATAATACACAATATGTTAGTATAGGATAAGCTCATAAATAAGTCCATTACAAATATAATTTTAATATGATAAATATCAAACAACTATTAAGGAGAAACAATTTGGTATAAAATGGCATTTTGCAAATAAAAATTGATTGAGAAAATAGCTATCAAAAACTACTGGAAAACATAACCACAAACCTTCATACTACTTAATAAATAAATAACTGTACAGCTTTCCATGTTAAACTTAGAATTAGAAATAGCTTTCATTCAAAATAAGGAACAAAACTGAGTTATGTATATTTCTTACTCTACAAAATGGTTTAATGTATACACCACTAACAGTAAGAGCATTGCCTTCAGCACTATTCATATGTGGCTAATATGAACACTGAGCAGAATTAGAAAATCTAGTGTGACCAGGTCAAGATCTGTGATATAATCTACAGTTTACAGGGTAAAAAAAAAAAATTAAAAACAAACCAAAACCAAACAAACAAACAAAAAAGCAATCTGGATAATATAAAAAAAATGGGTTTATGGCATTTTTGTGAGCCAGCAATAGTTTTTTTTTTGTTCTGCTTTGGTTAAATCAATAAAAGCTCCTTGATGTTCAGTACCTGGGTAAAACTAGGTAATTTAAGTACCTTCCTAAAGTTGCCTAATCTTAAGTCTTCAATTTCCATTTGAATCTTGGTCATTGTACTTATGAGTTGGAACTGTTTGAATGAGAATAAAGGGAGAGACTTAGCAGACTCTCCTATTGATAACCTAATGCACATACTGATCTCACTATATTTTTAGCAATTTTTTTAGACTAAAAAAAATAAAATTAAGTTTAAAATTGAATGAAAATATAAGGGAGATGTTATGCAATGGAGGAGTAAGCACTTTCTTTGCACACAGATATATTTCCAAATCATAAATGGCAAAAAATTGTGATCACTCACAGGAATCTTCTTGTTGTCCTAATGCATTGTGATTCAGTTTTTATATGGAAACAAGTTTCAGAGGTTATTGAATTGTTAATTTTTCAGGTTTTCTGTCCCTTTTCTTTCCAGTAGATACCCTATTATAATGGAGACTGTGCATATTAAAAAGAGAAATCCAAACATTAATCTTTCATTTGTGAACAAATATATTTGACAGAGCATACATACTTTAGAGTGTGGACAAGATGTTGACAGTAAAAAACATTCTATTTTTATTGAATGTTTCTTCTTTGTTATAAAAAGGAAAGTTTACATGTATTGAAGTCCGATTTCACCTTGAGAGACAGATGGGTTACTATCTCATCCAGATGTACATACCAAGTCTATTGATTGTGATTCTCTCCTGGGTGTCATTTTGGATCAATATGGATGCAGCTCCAGCCAGAGTGGCTTTAGGCATAACAACTGTGCTGACCATGACAACACAAAGCTCAGGTTCACGAGCATCTCTTCCAAAGGTAGGCAAAATTTCCTTTGTTTATACTACATTAGTCGTAATGTTATGTGACAAACACTTTCAATCGACCTTATGTGTTTTGATTAGCATTCAACCATTTTCTAAAGGAGATAAATAATTTTGAACTATTTAGGGGAGGGTTTTGATTCTCCAGACAAATACATTCTATTTCTCCCATCTCATCTATTTACCCAACCATGTATCTACTAAATTCCATGAACCTTAATAAGAAATGAAAACAATGTTATTCAATACTACATAAATACTGCTTAGTAATTGACTGGCTCATCATTTTTCACATCCCAGTATCTGATGACATACTAGCAGTTATGACTGAAATTCTAAGGGCCACAGATCCTAACCTGTTCTCAATTATATTCCTTTCTCAAAAACTGCCAACATTATGAATTAACTCACTACTTACAAACACAGTTACATTAAAATGTAGAAAAACGTGAACCTAAACAGCTCCAAACAATTGTGTAAAAAATTTTTACAACACAATGTAAACTACTTAAAGTTTAATTCTGTTATTAATTATTCTATTATTAATTTTTCAGTTTTCTGAATTATAATTACTTTGAATATGTTCTGTTTCATTTTAAGGCTTATTCCTTGACCTTCTTCATGTGTCATTGCAATTAATAGAAATAAAATGTATAAAATAAAAATACACAAAGTCCCCTTCTGTGTTAGTTTTACCATAATATTTTTAGGTTGTCTAATTGCATTTTTTTCTAAGTAAAATAGATAGCCCTAAGACAACTGAACATGCTTTGTGTCTTAGATATATGGATCTGAATGCCTCCAAATGCAGCATCAACAACTCAGAAAAACAATGTAAGAGATTAACAGAGAACTATACATGGGTTTTGTCAGATTTTGAGGCCTGAAGCTAGCCATGTTTGCTTGTATTAAAAAGCTCTTGTAAATCTGCACACAAAGAGGGAGTAGGCCTTACTTTCTTGGTTCAGATTATGTCCTGCATCTGAGCTTGGCCATACGGGATTGCAATGAGCTCTATTACAATGAGTATCTGATTCTCAGTACTTTCACTGTGTCAAAATTACAGGACTAATTTAAAACCATATATTTGATTTACTGAGACTATATTAGCAATGAATGAACATATCAGAGTTCTCCACCTGTGTCCTTCTTCTATCTAATTTTATTGCAGGAATTTTCAGTTGCATCCATTTTAATACAGGAATTCCCACTGGTCCTACCATAAGCTATTCTTTGATTCCTTCATGTCCTTCACAGATCTCAGTGAGAGAAATGGAGGAAGAGCATGTGTTTCTTGTGGATTATTTGATTTGGGATGTTTGTCATACACTATACTATAAGGAACTGTTAATGATTTAAACAGACTTTGTGAAAGAATAAATTTTTAAAAAATAACAATTTATAGATTGAATTTTTATTCCTCTTATTATGTAATTTCATGTTAAGTTTTGTTTCATAACAGTAGTGTGGGGATGTGGAGGTATTAATGCACTTCCTGTTGACATGAAATACTTAATTTCACATCTGTGGCTTTAACATATTCGATCTTCTCCTTTCTTATCTCCATAGGTGTCATATGTCAAAGCCATTGACATCTGGATGGCAGTGTGTCTGCTCTTTGTATTTTCTGCACTTTTGGAGTATGCAGCTGTAAACTTTGTGTCAAGGCAGCATAAAGAACTTCTGCGCTTCCGCCGCAAAAGGAAGAAGAGCAAGGTAAAAGTAATGGTATTCACAGCTTTGAAAGAGAACCTCACTGAATTATGCCAGGATATAGGGTTAATTTGGTAAACATGCTACGGTTTAAAGTGGCAATATAAATAAAATGGCATCACAACATAAAATTCACTATAGGCAGAGGGTAGCTACAAGGACTATAAATTGTATAAATCCAACTTGAATTTCCAAAGAAGGGATTAAGAGGGTTTTAAATGAGGCATGGAGCATGTAGGAGCCATCTGCACAAACATGAATTTCACTCTGTTAGAGGAGTTAGATTATTCTTCAGTGAATGAATGTTGCTGGTATTTGCAGCAGTTTGTGCTACATTGAGATTCAAAAAATAATGTTTCCTAATTTAATTCTAGTACTCAATTCAAAGCCTTAACAGCTGTGTTTCATGCAAATATTTTTTAATACAAGAAATATTTTTTCAAATAACATTATTGGTGAAGAATAAACATTTTACTTTAAAAGGCTGATAAATGTGTGGTTTTTTCTTCTGTCCTGCTAATTTAGTATAAATCTTTCATATAAATAGTAAAAAACTTTAATATAGTAATGGCTATTAATATTTATTTTATAGCTGGAGATATATAACTACCGTAAAATAACTCACTACCAGTGAGCAAAGTCAAACAGCTAAGGCTACAAGTTTGAACTCTGAAGCCTGTAGTTAAATCAAGCAATAAGGAAAATTTCTTACAGCAGTATATAATTCCTACTTCTGATTTCATGAAGAGTAAATAGTTCTCCAGCCTATCCATTAAATGAGTACCCACCTTTTCACAGGCTTTCAGTTACTATCTAGAATATTACTAGTAAATGGAAGTCTAATCATAGCAACATGATTCAGTTCTGTTGTCTTTTATTCCTGAAGACTTACCTCATGTTTACTGCTTACATGCAAGGAGAAGACATTTTATAGGTTGTTTCACTCTTACTTAAAAGATATTGAAAATCTGCACTGCTGTAAAACCTACCTAAGCAGTCTCTGCTAGTAAGACTCTGTGTTAAGAGGCAGGCTGGACAGTAAAATGAAAATGACATTTTCACACATTTACCTGCCCTTATGTGTTGAGTCCCAGATTTCTTAAGCTGCACAGAGAAACTCATGTACTGTAGCCTAGATGATGATTCAGGCTGCATGTGCCTGCTTTCAACATTCATCCCTGTGAAAAATGGGCTTTGTTCTTCTCCCTGACAGTAGCAGAAAAAATAGAAGTTTTGTGACAGAGTATTTGTTTCTGAAGTATGGCAGCTCTCTGAAAGCTGCTTAAAGGTTTGGAATGGGAAGAATGGGATGGGGTAGACACAGATTACTGGACAGACGTAGGTGAGCCCCAACAAATGCATGGTGTATCAAATACAAACAGCTGTGGTGAGTGATATACTATGTCACTGTACCTTTAGTCCATTCACCTTTCTCACCATGTTGAGAAAGTTTCTTCAGGATCTCAAGCAAATTCACCACATTCAATTTTAATGATATCTTCCTTAAATACAGGTCAATTTTTATGAGCATAGGGTTAGAAACTGGTAGGTGATATCTTCCTTCCTTGGAATCAACCCAAATCTCATTCCAACTCTCTCTTAGCAAGACTTCAAACTCACCAAAGACACTTATTCAGCAATCACAATCAATGAAATTTCAGCTTAGAGGTATGTAAGGGAGGATCCACAATATACAAAACAATTCTAAAAGAAGGCCTCTTAAAAAAAAAAAAAGCACATGAATAACCTCACTGATTTAAGTGTTTTGCTGGATTAGTGCTTGACATCACGGTATTTTTGAATTCAAGCTTAAAAGTCCTTATTCTAATTTTACACTTCATTAGACAGTCTTTAGCTTCAGGCACGTTGCCTGCTAGATTGCCATAAAATCACAGGATTAAACCTAGAGACTTCAGGGTATGTACAAAAGTACTCCCCTTAGATTCTGAAGGATAGAGACATGCACTTCAATGCTTTTCTTCATAACAAACCCAGGTGAGGGTATTAAATATTTTTGGGGGTATATGGCTTTCCCTTCCTCCTGTATCTGTAAGCTTCATCATGAGACAGGCTTCTCAGTATAAATTTACCAAAAAAAATACGTTCTTCCTATGCAAGGTTATGATTTTAGAGAAACAGTAATTTTTCAGAAAATATTAATTTAACTAAATGTTTCCTGACTCCCTTCAAACCCACGTAGAGCTAGAACTCCCAGTCAGAGTTAACCTCTGAGAATACACCTTCTCAAGCTTTAGAGACAGCTCAGCTAACTGATTCTCTCTTTCTCAATGTTTTGTTAAATCATTCCTTGTCAACAAGTATACAGGATTGGAAACATTACAGCATATAGATTTTATTTCCTCCAAAAAATTTGGATCACATCCTAAAACCTCTGGTATACAAATAATAAATTATGTTTTACAGATTAAAAAATTCAGTAAATAACTAGCCTTCCTTACCACAAATATTATTATTTATTCACCACAATTTCTAACATGAAATGTAGGCCCCAGGATCATAAGTCAAAGTAACATGTTTTTTCTTTCTCTTTTGTCTTTTTCAAAGTTGGCTACTACAGCTCATGATTATAAAGTTTTGTATGTTTGCTATCCTTTTGGATTAGGTCAAACAGACACTGGCTGTCAAGAATTAGATTGCATTAACTTTTAAAACTGTATAAAGAAATGTTTATTTGGCCACAAAGTCAAAAAAGGTGAAAAGAAGTTATTTTAAAAGGCTGCATTTAAAATAAACTTCAGAGGCTCCCTTGAACATTAAATCCTCTTCCTTTGCAAAGTGAAAAACACTATTCTATTCAGTATTTATGTCCAAAACTATTAGAAAAATATATCCATTAGGATAACTTATTAGACTTTTAGATTCTGCATGCTTCCATTCTTGGGACACTTTACTAATGTCAGGTTTTTCTACCAGGTGAATTCTAACTGTTAAGTACAGATTTTTTTTTTTTTGGCATTGGCATTTTATCTGCAACAGCACAGTAAAACTTATAGCAATTCGACTGTGTTGCAAAAGTAAAAAAAAAAGATGAGTTTGGAAATATTTTGTTCTAGATATGTGTTGACAGAAGAGAATATTTATGAATAATATGTAATTGCAATAAGACAGCTGAAGAATTTTCAAAGTCTATTTTCTTTGTAATTAGAAAGATATGCTTGTTGCAAGAAATATTTACTTTTACCAAGTAACTAAAATAATAGCGCAATGATTGAATTTCAGTGCCTTTGGGAGGTCAGTGGATCCATTTTCCTGACTTAAGTCAAGATCATTTATACCTAATTCATCTCAGTCATAAAAATTGCACAAGCTCCCCTGAAATCTATTCCAATTGTTTAAAAAGTTTTTTACTATTGCTTTTTTTGACCTCTCATGGCTTGTCTAGGAGGGGCACAGAAAACAGATTACTTCTTTCCTTTATGTCACCATTTGCACGTTTCCATTCAGTCTTTTCTTTAAGTATTCCCAGTTGGTACAGTTTTGGGGTCTGGTTTACAGTTTTACTTTTATTTTTTTTTTTTGTAGTTTGTTTTTTCTCATTTGCTTTCCCTGGAAATTCTCCTAATAAGTCCATATACTTCCTCAAAACTGTATTTGCAACATGAACAACATGAAATCTACCCAGTAACAGTTGAAAACAGCCAAAGGATCAAATAATTCAAATTATACACTTGCTTATCCAAATCATTTTACCATTTGCCTTCTACACAACATCGTGTTATTGACCCATATCAGGACTGTGACCTTCCATATCCTCTGGATCTTTTCCCAGAACTACTGCAGAGCCATTGGGTTTCCATCTTATGCTTGCAAAGTTGATCATTTCTGGCTAAATGTAGTACCTTGTATTTGCATCTACTGACTCTCCTTCTGTATTTTTCAGATGCTTTGTTCAAATCATTGAATTCAATTCTAACTCTAAACATATCCTCAAACAAATTTGAAGGTTTTCATAGGTTGGAATATTTTGTAAATTTAATTAAAAGTATGGGTTATTCCTTCTCATTGCTGATTGAAAACACAAAGGAACTGGAATGTCTCTCTTAAAAAGCATATGATGGAACTTGGATAAGACCCTTGTAGTGAATTATACAGTTATACAAATTGCAATTGTGTACAGAGCTGTAATAAGATATTTTAGGATACAAAGCTCATCTATCCATTTTTCTTATGCTTTTTCCAACTCTAGTCACTTCCTCTTTTTTACACCATCTAGTTCATTTGCAGCCTCCCTTCCCAGACAACAGTTACAGCAGCATCAAAGACAGTTCTTAGGTATAACAGCACCCTCTGGCCACCCTTTTTATGATTGTAAGTGTGGACCTCATTCAATGATTCCAGATAACTAAATGGCAAATTTCTTTCCAGAGGCCAAATCCAGTTTGCACAGAATTAAAAATTTTGAAGTGTCTGGGATTGTGTTGTAAATACATTTATAAATAAAAACTATTATTGCAACATAATATACAACCTACTCATTGCATTTACCAATAAGCATCACAATAGGCATAGGAGATTTTTTTAAAGGGTCTAATACCTTTATGATTACGAAAAATGGCATAATGAATTCTGAGAACAGGGGAATTTTGGTTCTCAATTTGAGACCTCATTTGTTATCCAGTATATGAGCCATAGTGCTTTGTCTCTGACAGAGAAAAAACCTGTCTAGTGAACAGAACTATTTCGGAAACATTATATTACCATTCCTTCAGAATGAATGAATATTAATTATTCATTTGTCTTGAAAGACAAAAGGAAAAAAATGGTAGAATTAGAAGTCATACAGGGATACTGAAACAAACCTATGATCAATGCTTTTTCTTAGTTGCATTTACATTCTATGGGGAAAAATATTAACTCTGTATATATACTGAATAATAACACTTTTATTTTAGATCAGCTGTTAATATGTATTTAGTTTTCAGGACTATTCAATCTTTTAATCCTATTTTCAAAAATCTAAAGATCACCATATCTTTAGAGAGGAAAATAGACATGCAAACTAGATTGTCTGTAATGGTAATCACACCTCTTTTCTTTTGTTTTCTTTTTGGTCAACCCATCCGTTTTGATGAAAGTATTTTGAGGGAATTCTTGATGGAAATGAAATCAGTGAATCATTACAGCATAGCAATGGCTTGAGATGTACAGGACCTATAGACGGGACTTTGCCTCAAATCTACAGTACAAATTTAAGGGTAAACTATGAAGAAGATTCCCCATTTGTCATAATGTGATATCCAATCATTAATAGAGGCCCTGTCCTTTTGTCTGAAATAATGTCTTCCCATGTAAACTTCATATACCTTCATTGCTACCTGTATGTGATGACGTGAAATGTTAATAAAGGTACTGTCTTGGTAATTTCATAATCCATTTTGATCTGTTTAAATCTGGATTAAAACATAGTATTAAAATTTTACACTGTTTGTAGTGCAAGACAATTCATTAACACTTTCCTTCTCAAAACTGAACAGTAAAAAATGTAGTGTACAAATTACCAGAGTCAAGGCTTCAAATAAGCTTTCAAGTTGCTACCACAACCTATAATCAATAGGCTGTGGAGTTATTTTCAGCCCTTATATATATTATTCCTCAAGATAAATGTATTATTAAATATATGGATGGAAAACAGCGTGGTCACAAGACCACAGACAGTGACAGTTTTCTATTAATTTATACTTAAGTATTTTGTAGAACAGCACTGATACAGAAATAACCTAATTGAAATTACTTCCTTCAGATCTTCAAAGAATTCTAACTTTCTAAATGAAAATTGTTATCTAAATTTACTTGCATTCTTAAATTACAGTAATTTTAATAGAGATGATAAAATATTCATATCTAGCTGTATGCGAAATAACTTTCCAGTTGTGAATTTTAGAGCTGAATGTGTGACAACTGCATTCAAATCAAACTCTTACTAAAATTCATTAATGATAAGATTTTTTAAGTTTTATCAAAAGTCCGTGAGAAATCACTTTGTTTGGTGATGATCCACTAAAATACACAAAGGGAAGTAAAAGCTTCTTTATTATTTATAAAATTCAAATAATCTAACCAATATGGAGGACTTTTTCAGGAGAATTCACTGTCCAGATTATCAACTGGAATATACAGGGAATGTCTTTTAGATGATTTCTACAGTGGTGGACTCAGAGGCATGCATTCTGAGAAATATTTCTAGTCAAAAAGACAGACTTAAGCCAAGCCAATCAACAATAAAAAAAAAAAAATGACGTCACTGACATTTTATATAAATGCCTTTAAAAAAGTACTCAAAAGTTAGCATCAATAATAACAGTAATTGCATGTTTCCTGCTGTGCACAAGCACCCTCATATGAATCGGAGGCCAAGTTAGTGATTTTGCTGCATTACGAACCTGCTGGAAAACTTGCAGAACCACATTTTGAATAATCCAGTTGCTACCCTAGAAAAGAACTATGGCAATTCCTGCCTATCCATTAGCCCTAGCACTTTGATCTGACTTGGTAGGCTCCAAACATCCTGCCTGACCTCATGGAGACATCATCCAACAGACATTGGGCAAAAATGCTGGATTCCTAGAAGGACCTTCACATCACTTGAACAACAGAGGGCATTTCCAAGCAGCCTGCTGGCAGACTGAATACAGGATGTCTGCAAGCACAAAAAAAAAAAAAAAGGAGAGATCTGCCCTTGAAAACATTCTAGGGGATCATTCCATTCAGGTAAGCCTGAAACAGAGACAGTAAAGTCTTAGTATATAGTGCCTCATCCTGAAAACATGTATAACTGAAAGCTGCTACTCAGGAATTATTTTACTGTCTTTCTCAGCCTGTGCAATTATAAGCATTATTTTCTGGAGAAGCATGAAAAGACAAAACTCTGAAATGCACATATGACAGTGTTTAAATGGCAAGTTTATGGTAAATTCTCACAGTCCATGCATTTGTAACTTAATACTTCTGTTAGCTGAAATACAACACTACAACTCCTCTGGAATACAACTACTTTAAAGATGTTATTTCCCATTCTTTTCTGACAGGAGAGGAACACTATTTTAGTAACTAAATCTCTGTTTTATCACGTCATCAAATAATGATCCTATCATTTTGTATTTCTGTTATTCATTTCCATAGTAAAATAAGTCAGTGATTTTTCCTCCTCCTTTTCTTTCATGTTAATTTTTCTTTATTTTTGTGTTTTTAAAGGCAAAATCTAATACAGATTTGAAGCACAGTAGTTTCAGTGAACTATATTACTCTCTTCATTTATTTAGTTTATATATATGAAAAAGTATTGCAGTTGGGGGATAACTACATCTCTGCTGGATGGTCATGCTGACAGCCAAATAATTCACTTCAAACTTAGTGGTTTATCTGCATTCTTTTGTAGCTAACTTATTCAACTATTAAGAAACCTCTTTGGATTTTTTTTTTAAAATAGTAATTAAAAATGGTTCTTCAAGTAAGTACTATTGATGGAAGTTTTAAATATGTTTAGAATTAATTCTCCATTGAAAAATATTTTCAGATTTACCAAATGTCACAGGCAGTTTCAGAATGAAAAATTTGGAAGTTTGGATTTTAGCTGAGCTCTTTGAGAAATTGTATTTGTATAAACTAAGAGGTTAAAGTAAAACAAAAATTGCTTCAGAACTATTGAATTGAAACTCTAATTATTTGACTTTGGCACATAAATAAATAAATAGTTTTTTAGCTAGGAAGTGCTTTAAAATATCAAAAATTCGCTTACAAAAGGAAAATTGCTGCTCACCTCCTTTTATAATACTTATGTGAGTTATTTTTCAAAATAATTATTTAAGAACTAATATATACATAATAATTTATATACTTCATGAAAGTCTAAAATCCTAAAGCAACTAGGATAAATTAGGCATGAAGAATAGACATTCTTGAATTTAAAATTATTGAAAAAATGGTGAATGCCATCAAAATCATGTGACTATCCTTGAGGCACCTACATAGTGAAGGAGTATACTGGAATATATTTCAGAATCAAATTTGGCTCTGGCTTCACAGACTATATATCATTTATTTGCCTGCATATGTGCCTCTTTTACTGCTTGAGGATACCTATAACTAGGTAAAGAGAAGTAAAAAATATGTCTCCAGACACAAGTTACATTTTTTAATGTATGAATATTGTAAATATAAATTAATATTGTAGATATGAGTATTGTAAATATGAAATATGAAAATATGTCTTTCTTCAGGCCACGTACTTCTGTTTCTGTGCCATGTAATTAAAAATCACTTTCTCTTAAAGTTCTCTGAATTCTGAATATCTTTTCCAATTTTCCCCTGAATTGACAGAAGAATGAGTTGGAAGAAAACCTGGCCTTTGGTTTTCATTCACTGTGTTTGAAACTAAGACACTTTACATACTATTCTCTTTATCTGATGCATTCACACAGATCAGCAGCAATAAGGCATACAGATACAATTAACTAAATTTACAATGGTCAAATACACAGAATTCTCACCAATGTAATTAATGTGTACAATATTAGTGATTTTATGATGAGTATCTCTAGATATCTAGAGGCAAGGATCCTGGTTTGTTAAGCAGTGTACAGGCTTAATGGTTGTTGTCTAAAAGACCATCGTGAAGTTTTTCCATTTGAAGATTGTGGATATTTACTGTAAATGGGGAAACTTAAACCAAATCAGAAGTTGTGTGCTAAATTACTGTTAATTTACTATGTTTCTCATTTCTCTAAGTAGATTACAGAATCTATAAACAAATATAAAAATTCTGTGCTTGTTAAAACTCCTACAATATTTTTAACAGACACTGATAGGGATGAAATTTCAACCAGTTAAGATAACTGTGGATTCAAGAAGTCATTGAGGTAATGGTGCAACTGTTATTTAGCAGCAGGTAAGGTTTGTGTAAATAATAGTAATTAAAAAAAAAACCTTCTTTCTCATTTTCTTTATATTCTTTTTTTTTCTTTTTTTTTGGTCCAACAGGATGATGATGCACGTGAAAGTCAGTTTAGCTTTACAGCATATGGAGTGGGCCCATGCGTGCAAGCAAAAGATGGAATGACACAGAAGGGGCCAAATAATCCTGTTCAAGCTGTACCAAAAAGCCCTGATGAGATGAGAAAGGTATTCATTGACCGGGCCAAGAAAATAGACACAATATCCAGAGCTTGTTTCCCATTAGCCTTTCTGATTTTCAACATTTTTTACTGGGTAATTTACAAAATCATCAGGCATGAGGACATTCACCAATAACAAGACTAAGGCTTGCAATACATAAAGATCTGGTTGTCACACTCGACCAGAAGCTTTTTGTTAGAAATGCACATCAGAGGAGTGACTGGAAGAGTTAAAAACACTGAGGTGGTGAAAAAAGATTCTGCGTGGCCTGCAATGACCAGGATGGAAGAATGACACCCAGAAAAGATACATCTGCTATTGCAAACTTTCCTTGTAAAGCTAAATATTAACAAATTTTTCATTGTAAATCACTCTCTACTGAAGCTTTACTGGCAAGTATTTGTACATACTGTTACACAGTGGTATAACTGTACAGTACTCTCTGATGGTCCTTATTTTTTTTTAAATTGTGATGTACTTTTAATTTTAAAATTTGTTCCTGAGTACCCTAGGTAAATCCCACAGTATTACAGAATAGATTAGTGTTTGTAACCTTGATTTCAATTTTACAATATTATGACAAATTACTGATTGGAGAAAAAATTTAAAGGACTTCATCTAGTCTTAAGGACAGTACTGGTGGTTTTGCAATGAATATATTTGACACATTCAAGTCATATAATTTACTAAATATATTTAAATTACTGTTCCCCTGGAAGCTGTTTGTTGAAATAGTCTCTGACAGCACAAAGTATACAGCCTAATAGTCTGCCTATCACATGAGAAATATATTAAAATTTGTAAGGTATTGACTCCTGCAAAGGATTTTTTTTTCTTTTAATTACTTACACTTTGATAATTGAAACATATTTTTTAATATTTTTTTATATTTTAAGGGGGTTTTTCCTCAATTCATAAAACTCATACAGCTAGTGAAATAGACAAACTACATCGAAATTTTGCAATACTTCACTTTAATTCAATGCAAAGAGATCTTGGACCAAAACTGAAAGCAAATAGTGAACTCCACTGAAGCATTTGGAGGATGAACACAGTTATGTTTATGCACATTCATCTCCTACATGTTACATAAATATAGGAAGCTTAATTTATGAATATATCAAGTTTTCTGACTCATTCTTTGAAGTTTATTGATGTAACTTAGATATTGCTTAAGAAGCACTTCACAACTTTGGAGAAACATGAAGCTCATCTAAAACATAAAAAAGGATCTGGATGGTCTTTTACATTTACTGTATTTCACATTAATAAATAGGAGAACAACCATTAAAACTCTTAGAAAAATCTTTCCTGTTTAGGTTTAAATAAGTCATTTTAGTTGCTTCTTTGAATTGTAACACCATAGATCAATCTTGTCTATTGGAAAACAAAACCATGCTAAGAAGTGAAAATGCATCATTTAGAATTATTAGTCCAGTAGCTGAGGCTGATTCTCATTGCAAAATATTTTTATTTTGAACAGGTTTAAAATTTTTGGTTTGTTGTTGATCAGAATGTGTATACAAAAGCAAAATCAGCTGGAAACAAACATCTGGTGCACTGCCAAAGGCATGGTGCATATGAAGAAGCAGCAGCAATGTAACTCTGCACTGAGTAATATAGCAACCTTGGCTTTGGTTTGTTATTGTTTTCCTCCAAGGATTACTTAGAGAGGTTCTGAAATAGTAGCTCTCAGATTTTGTTAAACTGTGTCAGAAAGAAGGTGTATAATTTGCCTTTATTTTTAAACTATTATTCTTTTATAGTTTTACTTCATTTATGATCTAAAATTAATTCAATTTACTTAAAATTTTTTTTTTTCTTGCTGAGATGGTGTCTGCTTTCTGTTGATCTATTTATGTGCATGTTCCAAAATATCATGTTCACTTATGAAGGTGCTCATCTGTATGAGGAGGTATCATGAACTAATGGTTGATATTACTCAGTTGAGTTATATTCACCTCTCTCAAAGATGTCATTAACTGTATTGTATGAAAAGGGGTGTTAATTTGCTTCTGTTAGCAGCAAAGTCAACAGTATTTTGTTTAAGGGCTGTTTACAAATGCACATAACTTTTGGCATATCATTCTGCTGCCCTCAGGTGAGTAAAGATGTTCTATTTTGATATAATGGAACCAAGATCTCTCCTGAACTGGTTTTATGGGTTGTTTTTTTTCTGTTACTTTTACCACGGTAACAGAGGCCTCTGCAGTCCACTAATAATGTGTTTTTCAAGAGAAATAATAACTTAAAATTCAATTTTCATTTAGATTATTCCTAAATGACTTAATGTAAAGGCATACGGTAAAGAAAGAGAGAAATGTCATTTAAGATTATAAGAAACTTCCAGGCACAAATTCCTGCTCTTCACCACTGACTAGGGGAAAAGTCCAAAACTGCCAGCTGGCATGCCAGCCCTCTTTACAAAGCTAGAATCAATAGCTACAGACATCAGCTAAGATTAGTGTGGGAGTTGATTCTTTTGTAACTTTATAGTGAAGCAGCAGAGAATACTATTAAGAAGATGCAAGAATTGAAAGGTATCTGTGGTATTTGTCAGGCTGCAGTATTTGTGCCACAGTCCCATGAAAGAGACAGTGGAGAAGCAGAAAAATAATTATCAAGGAAATAATACTTGAGGCAAATGGTATCTAGCAGGGTTCCACCCACATATAAATAAGAATCCATTAATTAGGCTGAAGTAGATAGCCACCTCATTTCACTATCACTTGACCAGGCCTGAGTACAAGTCCTTAGCAAAAACAAGGCTTCTTTTAAGCACAACCCCTGTACAACAGGCTAATGCAGCTTTGTCTAAAGTCATTATTCACCATAGGTGCAAACCCTGTAGTTCTCAGGTCATGTTTTTGTGATCTCTGTAGGCCAGCCCTGTACTTTCAAAATAAAATACTGGTACTAGAAGGACATTGTAACACAACGAAAAGAGAGGGAGGCACTGTAGGATCTGGAGGAATACCCCAATAACACCGCTACTAAAGAGCTGGCACAGTTACTACAAAGGGAAAAAAGGAAGGATGAGACATCCTTATTATTTTTCCCAGTCTCGCAGTATCCTTGCCATAGGTACAACTGTTCAGGCAGGAGCACTAGCTACAGGGAGAAACAGTTTATATCAACTGCTACGAAGTATATATTGTTTTCTGAGAGCAGTTTCTACCTGTGCAGATTGAATTCCTCACCATCTGTTTTCCTAATGTAAAGAGAAGCAGAACAGGAAGGTACAGGATGAAAAGTGTGGTCTGTCCATAGCATAACAGGGGCCACAGGAGGAGAGAAAGCCCAAAGCAGAGCCTGGAACCTCTCATATGACTGTCTTCTTCCTGTACTAAAAAGAAATGTGGCCCAATCCGTGTCACCCCTCATAATGCCAAAAACTCCAGGACTTTGAGAGAGGATAAGAAAGGTCCCTTTGAGGTGCAGTAGAATTAACTGAACTACCACAGTACCAAACTCCTGCTTAAATTCGAAACGGCAAAATGCATTTTATTTTTAAAATTATATTCAATACCAACACACTGCGTTCTCGTGGTTAGAGGAATGGCTTTTTTTCTCTATAATGCTGACAAACTATAGGAGGCTTGAAGGTGTTTTACTATTTAGAATTCAGCTATTTTAACGCCAAAATAAAGCACACTCTACTTTCAAGAACTTTTGACAGCAAGCAGTATTATTTAAGCAGGTTAGTTGAATTCAGGAAGAACAAGGCATTTAATTAGGATTGATCTTTTCAGCTCAATCAGACATTGATTTTCTTTGGATTCCTTTTATTATAGTTTGTTCAAAAACCTGCTTTATAAAGAGGTGTAGTGTGTGAGAGGTGATTCTCTTTGCTCACTAGACAGACATATTTAGGTGATTTAGATGTGCACTTTACATTTAAGGAGTAAGGTATTGTTTCCACTTTTTGTATTAATCCCTTACAGAACTGTAGGCTGATAATGTAGATAAAAATAGAATATAATAAACTGTACAAAACCTTATATTTTTAACAGTAGGAAAAAATAGAAAGTCTTCCTTAACCTTAGGGGGGGGGGGGGGGAAGTATTATTTGTAGCAATAATTTTATATTAGATGGAAATAAATTTATTTATACCATTTCCAGCCCAAGCTAACATGGTTGGCTGGAAAAGATGTACTTTTGTGTAACTTCTGCTCTCATTTGAGCTATTATAGGAATTAATCTAATCCAACAGAGCAGAATTTGGCCTTAAACTGTGAAACTGCTAAATGAGCTAGTAGTGCTCACGCCTGTGAGATAGTAAAATAACTTTATCCACATCTTACTGCACAATCATATGGCTATTTAGATGACAACTATATCAGACCTTCACAGCTCTTTTCCTTTTTGAGACAACTAAGAAGAAAAATATAATTCACAAACCAGACTACTTGTTAATAATAAAATGGGTATTCTGTTTTGGAGTGGTTATGGAAAAGGTGTCTTCAGGCAACACACATCACCTACAGTAATTACTGAAGTACTATCAATTTGGAAGGCTTGTGGAAGTAGGTTAGATTGCCAGAAACAGTGGGTTAATGCCAGAAAAAATGTTGGCTCATCCTGTATTCTTGACATTCTCAAATATTACTGCACTTCTTCACTTTCATCTTTGTGAATTATGCAAAAACGTTTCTTATGTTTGTATTTTAATGGATGACAGAGTGATACTAACAGATGAAATGGACTAAAGTAGCTACTGATGTTCCATGAATGTGGAATTGTGAGCTGTATAAAAAGAAATTGCACCATAAGCTTTTGACATAAAGGTTTAACATAATATACAGTATTTTGTGTGTTAGTGATCCTGGCTTCTTAAAGGCTACAGCAAGAAAAAAGAAAAATTTATATGATAGTGTATTAATAACTTGTCTGTGAGTTTTCAAAATATTCTCCGTGAGTTCTGTCTGATGGCAATTTCAACTCAAAGTACTTCCTTTTTGGTAAAAATCTATAAATGTGTCATGCATGGATTTATTTAGATTCCTTTTTGCTGTATTACAGTATCATATTGCTCTTAAGCTGACATTCTCTGCAGACAGAAGTGTTAAAAATGTGAAATTTATGGTAACACCCGTATCATTGTAGATATTTTGTTCAAAAAAAAAATAAATAACTTTTTTCAGAAAACATGCAAATTTTTTATGATATTTTAGGCAACAAATTTAGAGTCAAAGGAGGGAGTATCAACACCATTGGAAAAAAAGGATTAAATCCTCAACACTAGTTAAGGTGCATTACCATTAAGTATTTCAGGAGTGAAAACTTGAGAGAGAAGGATAGAGTGCCTTCAATTGTTACATGGGCTCCAGTTCTGAAAAAAACTCGTTCTGAAAACTCAAGGAAAGTTATCTTGACAAATACCTATTGAAACAAGTACAGCCACGCTCAAATAGTCCTGCTGATCTTATTATCAAAAAGGTAAAGAACGTCAGTTGCAGCAAAATAGCCTTTTGAAAATTTTATAGAACTGTGAGCCCTCCTAAGTATTCCTTGATAAAAAATGCCTAAAGTTAGCAAATAAATCCTTTGTGAACAGTCTGAGTTCTGATAATCTGATTGCAGCAGTGTTAATGCACTTATAAAGAGCACAGAGAACGCTCACCTAAGTAATAGCCACATGTCAATGTGATGCCATTTAGACTAGAAATTTTTAACAGACATCACAAATGTTTTGCAGTCTCTGCCCACATATGACAAAAGGCAACATCAGTTCATACATTTCAACTTGCTTTTCACATTGATGGAATACAAAACAAAAAGTTTGACATAATTGCAAATGAAATACTTCCATTACCTGTCTCTAATAATTCAGTTCAGCAAACTTATGACTTGGAGCTTTATAAAATGGAAATTTCTCAAGAGAATAGTCAAATGTAACAAGATCACCAGGGAAACCTTAATAGAAATCTTCAGCAAGCCTTCATAGAGCCCACAGAATTGTGTGATCAGATCTTTATTATTTGTGACAGCTGTTGCTCCAGCAGATCTGTAATACCTTGTCTTCCCAAAAGCAAAGCATTACTGGTACCTTTGACCTTGTTCCAGTATGTTCCCAAGCAACAATCTCATGAAACTACTGCGGTAGCAAATGTTTTCACATAGTTCCTAGAGCATGAAAACTGCAAATGTACTGTACCAGGTATGCAACAAACAATTAAACAAGAAATTAACAGCCAAACAATGTCACCCGAGAGTCATAGAAAAGAGAAGTAACAGATCTTAAAGAGATCAATATGGCATAAACTATGTGGCCTTTTCAACACAGAATTCTGGAAAATCAGATATCAAATATCCTTTTTCATGATTGTATATATAGCTACCTAATTATTTTTAAAATATCTAACTATTTTTTAAATTTTAAAAAATATTTAATTTCACATAGTCCATACATTAGATTTTATTTTGTACTATCCTACTCACTATACACTATCAAGATCTGAGAACAATTTTTTTTTCTGAATATGTGAATTTAAAACCCAGGACAACAATCATCAGAAGTCACGAAACTAGAATTACAGGGAAATTGTCATTTTGGAAATAAATCAAACTTTTTCAAAATTTAAATTATATACTTCTAGACATTTAATAAGCAAATACATATTTTATATATAATGTTTCCTCATTAAAAAAGAAAAAGAGATATTTCAACAATTACTTCACAGACTTACAAAGTCAGAGAATGGCTGATGTTGGAAGGGACCTCTGGATGTCATCTTCGTCAAACCCCCTGCTCAGGGAGGGCCACTTACAGCCAGTTGCCCAGCATCATGTTCAGATGGCTTTTGAATATCTCCAAGGATGAAGGGTCCACAGCCTCTGTGGAGTGCTCGGTCACCCTCGGAGCAAAAAGTATTTCATGGTATTCAGAGGGAGCATCCTGTGTTTTGGTTTGTGCTCATTGCTTCCGATCTCTTACCACTGAAAAGAGCCTGACTACATCTTCTTAACAAATTCCACACAAATTTTACACAAATTGATGAAATCCCCCTAAACTGGACACAATAGTCCAGATGTGATCCTACCAGTCCTGAATGGATGGGAGCAATCACCTCCCTCAGCCTGCTGGCAACACTGTTAATGCAGACAAGCACACCATTAGTCATCTTTGTTGCAAGGGCACATTTCAGGCTCATGTTCAACTTGGGGCCCACAGGACCCCCAGGTCCTGTTCTGAACACCTACTTTCCAGCTGTTCATCCCCCAGCATACA